AAGCAAAAGAGTTAAAAGCCAGCTCCGGATGGACAACTATGGCGCCTTCGCAGTGCGAGGTGCCATGGCCTCGCACTGCGAAAGCAGACGACCTTGTGCCAGTGCTTGCCTGCAGCATTTGAGGACAAAGTGGCGGACTTCCACCGTTTCGTTATAAAGCTCCGACAGCAGAAATACTTCATTTTGTCCCAGATCGGCAACGCTGATCAGACCCCCCTTTGCTTTGATATGCCGCGGAACACAACAGTGGAGGAGAAAGGTGCACGGAGCGTCATCGTCAGAACGTCTGGCGCTGATAAACAAGGATGCGCCAACAACGGTGGCAACGGATGGGCGCAAGCTACCACATTATATTATTTTTTAAACGTAAGGCGCTCCCAAAGGCAAATTTTCTTCAAGGCATCTACGTCAGAGTCCAAGAAAAAAAGCTGGATGAGCTTAGAACTCGTTGTGGATTGGGCGAAAACAGTCTGGGGTCGGCGGCCGGGTGGTCTGTTGTTCCTGTCCATGCTTGTCGTGGGCACCTAGTAGACCACGTACGAGATGAGCTAAAGGAGCTGCGCACAGATCTGGCAGTGATTCTAGGCGGCCTCGCATTGATATTGCAGCCTTTTGACGTGTCCTTGATGCTCGAAGGCTGTACACCACCTGAATGGCTGGAGGACAACGTATGGCTGGAGGTGGTAAGATTAAGAGGCCGCCTGTGGAAATGCTCTGCACCTGGATCGTGGAAGCGTGGCAGGCGATCTCCGACGAAGTCGTCAGGAAAAGCTTCAAGAGACGAGTATCTCGAACACACTAGATGCGAGTGAGGATGACATGTTGTGGGGTGCGGATGATTCGGACACTGAAAACGAATCCATGCTCGGCGAGGATGAATGTGTGCTCTCCTACTCTGACTCTGAATAGGGAAAAGGAGGAACACCTACGACTTTTGTGCAAATAAATTTTACGCTTGTGTGTGTGTGCAGTTGACGGCTCTCGCTTGTTCATTAAAGGGTATGTAGTGTAGTGACACGTATCCCCAAGGAGTACGGCCACTAGTGTGGGTCCGATCATAGCGAGCCGCAGGGCACGTGTTAACCGTCCCCATGACGAGACCACAGTATTGCTCAAGGTTGCAACACTTTATTGCCTGCGGCAACACCAAAAATGCAGTACAGAGCCCGCTGCAAAGGCGCGGCGGGAAAGCAAATGGGCTTATCCACGCCATGAGCGAGAACTACTGCAGAGGGTGCCGCGAGCACGTCTCTGTGGTAAAAGTGATTCAAGGAGACACCGGGACAGAGGTCCGGTTGCTCGAGCGAGGGCAAAGGTGCTCACGTTGGCTTTGGAGAGATACGGGTCGGCACAGCCTGGCCACGCACTAGGACGCCGCACCACTCTTCGTCCTAGCGTTCGGAAGGGGGTGGGCTCAACATAAGGTAAGTGTTCGCCGTGGGCGCAAAGCGCTGTTGGCGAGGTCCGAACGAGCCCCAAATAAAGGGAGCCCACAGACCGAAAAGAAAAGTGTGCTTACCCCCATGTCGTCCCCGGTGAAGTCTTCCTCACTCCCCGACGCGCGCGCGAAACCTCCGGAGAGATTCCACGCACGGCGCCACAGTCGACATTCGCTACCGAATGAGAGGGGCTAAACGTCCCTCTCCGCTCTCCCAGCGTGGCAGACCATGAAGGAGGGAAGTAATGTCAGGACATGAGAATGAAGAAAGAGGCTCAAAGCCCCCACAAAGGCAGTGGGCTAGCCTCGATTCCCACAGTATGTATGTTTGTCATACCTGCCAGGTCTCCCGGATTGGCCCGGAGAGTCCCGGATTTAGACCGATTTTTCCGGTTGTACGGTTGTTATAAAAATCTCTTGGAAATCGAAATCTCTGTGCATGATCTGGCCGCATTGACAAAAAAGCAGCTCAATCTGCTCTAGGTTTTTCGAACCTACCTCATTTTATTATAAATGAGTTGAAGAGGTGTTCATGTAAACGTACAGTATAATCTTAGTGATGCGAAACTGCGGCAGATACGAATTCTTGAAATTCCCCAGACAAATTTTACTATGTTCATTGGTACTCAATTCGAATGTTCCGAACAGATTTCCTAATCACGGCGGGTTATACGAACTTTAGTACGGAAACCGTCGAAAGAAGGCGGAGAGCAGCGTACTCAAAGCTTCGGAAGTACGCGTGCGACTGACGCACGCACTGTCTTTTACAGTGCGTGTGATTATCGTTGCCACAACCACTGTGCACGAAACTGCGGATGCTCTTGACACGATTATCTATAGGGACGTCGTAACTGACAGAACCCTGAAAGTGTGTGCTCAACCAGTCAGAGCAACGCTGCTTTCGGCAAACTCTGCAAACAAAACTGCGGCAGATGCTATTGTAGATGGCATAAAATGACAGTTTTTAAGGCACGTGCACAGCCAAGCGCATGGGGATTGTAAAATGAACTACGGTTTGCCGCAACCGCCACGCACAAGACCGCGGTCGTGGCGTCGCGATAGAGATCTACGAGCTCTGAAGGCATGCAGCGGTAGATTAAAGGCACTAAATACGTAAAAAAAATAAGAAAAAAGGTTAGTTTCGCCGCAAGGGTGATGCAATCAATGCGACAGCAACAACTTGGAATGTAACGCTGAGAAGGGCAAGCAGATCAAAACGCGCAGCGTGCTGCTTACGCATAAACGACGCACGAAAATGATACTTGCAGGACGTTTATTTGATGTTCTGCGCAAGAAAATCGGTGAATAGTGTTCTGGAGGCGCTGCGTTAGAGGGCCTCGAGCGTGCAATGGAGGCAAACGAGTGCACCAAATCACGTCACACGTGAGACATGAGTGCTATCTAGTGTTCATGTCTCACGTGTGATTTGATTTGACACTCGTTCGAATAGCGCTCGTGTCTCACGTGTGACAGATCTCAGAAAACAAAACGTGCCGCTCTGAGACGGGCATAGACAAACAGACAAGTGGACAGACAGACAGACAGGCCAAAATTTTTGTGCCGAAAGTCCCCAAGAAAGATTTAAAAGCAATTATTGCGCATATCTGAGGCACCATAACAACATGTCAATATTCTGTATGTGTGTGTCTCTTACTAGAAAAGGCATGCATAAGTAATTTTAAGGAGCGTAGCGTTTATCACGTTGCGCTGACCAGGCAGTGCTTGCACGAGAAAGCGTGTTTGCAACGCTTTGCTAAGACGACACAATGGGGGCACCTACCCATTGCCTTGCATTCTACACCTCATCACCTCCCAGATGGGCGCGCCTGCGCACCCGCTTCGTTTTGTAAGATAACTGCCAGATAGCGCTCATGTCTCACGTGTGACATGACTTGATGAGCTCGTTCGCCTCTGCTGCACGCTTGACGCACTCTAGCGCAGCGCCTCCAGTATACCATTCACCGATTTTCTTTTGCAGAACATCAAATAAACGTCTTGTTCACTCTCTCCAGACGCAAGACTATCGCCTTTCGACGACATTTGCACTGTAACATGCAGGCACGGGGCCAATTTTTTTCTTACAGTCTTCGTATATATAGGTACGCATACATATACGGTGAAGGACGGCGGCGGTGGGAACGGCGAGAAAATAACCTGGACGGTCCATATAACTGCTATTGCAATAAAAAGGGGCCAGACGCATTTTGGCGTTCCTGTCCAAAGAATCTAGTAGTGAGCAAAGCTCTGACCCGCGCTTTTGCGGCAGCCAGCTGCGCCGTCCCGTCCGTTCACACGTATCCCAGGAAAACACACGCGAGTTGTTTTGGCTGAAATAGATTCTGCTAGTTCTGTTGATCCTTTGAGACTCTGACCTTAGTGAAAAACTCTACCCTCGTATGTTCGGCCACTCCTAGCCATTAAAAGACCATAACGCTGATGTTGGCGCTTGCAATTGAGACCCCCCCCCTCCCACCCCCTTTTGTTTCTCGCCACGTTTTTTTTGTTTATTTGTATGTCCTTGTTTTTTCTGTGCCGTGCGCACCCCCTCCCCCCTCGTTGTGGAAATCTCCCGGACTCAGAATCCTTGAACTTGGCAGGTATGGTTTGTTTTATGCTGAATCAATTGGTAAACGATAGTCGCCTTTTACTTGACAAATGTACAGATTTAAAGCGCGAGAACTTAGTCCAACAGGTTTCGAAAATTTTACCTCGTGTAAATGGTGGGGTAAAACTTCGAGCTGGATTTTCTGGGAAAAAAAAAAAGTGTGCCTAATATGGTAGTGAATACGGTATACGCGCGAAATTTAAGCTCTCTGTTATGAAGCTTGTCGAAGAAAATGGGAATCGTGCCGCCGCCAGGCACATCAGGGTGAAGTTCTATGTGTGCCTATCACCACAATAAGTACGGGAGAAAGCAGAAGAGTGTGCACTTGGTAACACAAGTTTCCTGCTGCTGAAGGCTTTTTCAATTATGTGCGAACGCTTAGGTTCTCCGGTATCGCCATGGTGTAAGACGTAGTTTCTCCCAGCATTGTTGAGAAGAGCTTTGAGAAAATGGGAAGTGCGAATGCTCTGGACATAACAGATGGCAATGCTCTTTGAGATGGCGATGACAGCGGCCGTGACAATGATACTCAATCGGGCCTGTTGATCAGTGATTCCAACTTGACCACGCGCGACCGACTATGACTGGTGAAAGCACGTGCTAATTCTGTAAAATAAAGAAATACACTTCTTTTATGCTCTGATTTTTTTTTTAATGCTTATGCTGTGCACGTTAGGACTAATGCAGATTAATTGCATATGCGTTTGCAAAATCTTGGCATAATTTGCACAGCCTCTTCTAGGAGCTCCAAAATTGCAGAAAAAAGTGCGCAAATTGTGCAAGTAAATACGGTATACGACACTTTCGATGCATTTGTGAGCTTTCAAAGGTCCTTGGTTTTCAAGAGCTCCTTGACCAAAGTAGCATCATAGTGGAGGGCTGCTTCAATTTTCCTCACTGTGTTCCCACTGGTGCATATGCTTTCATTGTGCATAACCATAGGTGTTTGTTGTGCAGCGGTACATGTCCATGGATGATGAAGCGAGTCGGCAGCTGTTCCACCTCATCTCTCAGATGCTGGCCTATGAACCCTCACAACGCATCACGCTACGCGAGGCCCTTGACCACCCTTTCTTCGAGCCCCTGCCCGAGGAGGCCAAGTTGCACCTGCATGCCCGAGACCACAGCCTCAGCAGGTTCGTCGTTTAGCATGCTTGCTGTTGCCTGGTCACATCTCTTCAAATCCCCTAGTGTGGAGGAGCAACACAGCCGAGAGTTCACTCAGTGACAAGCAGCTCTTAAGCTTCCTTAGACAGCTTTGTACAGCTATCGCACATTCTGAAATAGCTTGACATGCTGATGTGTGTCACTGGTTGGAAGAGAGAACCAAAGAAGGGGCAAAGAGAATGACGGAAATTATCAAGCTTTGCGAGACATGTCTTGCAGAGGAAACTGCACAAAAGGAAGTGACAGCGTTCAGTTAAGCATTGTTCATATCGTTAAATGGCATATAAGTAAGATTTCAATAAAAGTAACTTTTGACTCAAGTCAATTGCGAATTCTCTGAGCAGGCCGAAGGCTTGTCATCAAAAAAGTCACCATAACGTCGGGAGCAGTGCGCCATAGAGTGATAGATGAGACTGCCGTTTCGATAAAACAACATACTTCAGCACCTAGAATGCTCTCTCCATGCTGGCAGAAACGACAAGGGCCGCTTGCTTTCAGGGGAGACGTGGGTCTTGAAGAAAATTGTATTGTCTGAATTGAATGAAACCTAATACACTTATTCAGTTTCTTCTGCAGATCCAAAATCTTTAAGTAGATTTTCGATAGCTGCATCAGAACAGAGGATACTAAATGTTTATAATACACAATGAACATATTTTTTACGGGGCTTTTTGGCAATTTCAGTATGTTCACTATGTCAAACACAAAAACAAAGTATATATATCCAGATTGCCAGAGAGCTGGTCTAGCCGGTGATGCTAATTTTATCATTTGCAACTAACTTCAAATTTAAAATAAATGAATACAAACATGAATGAAAAATATCTGCCTTATATTGTTTACAATCATCATGAATTATAATTCGGTAAACAACATATAGAAGAAAATGAATAGCATCAATGGCTAAATCAATTTATTACGATTCAATACGAATGCATTGGTATGAAAGTTCTTATTGTGAGTCAATAAAAATATGTCAAAATACCCTGTAGAGGGACGTGTTATGAAACTGAGAAAAATGCATTTGAAGTTTTATTTTTTTATAAATTGATGAAGTATTGCAACATAACTGTATAAATGGCATCATTATGTAGCTTGGCCCTCCAGGAACAAGATAATGTCATATATGTTACAACAATGTCACAGGAACCATGAAAAATTTGCTATATAAGCATGCATAGTCATTGTAAATAGTGCGAGAAAGCTGCTACCAAACACTGCACCGTCGTATTTCAGCTTGTATGTGTACACTGTGCATAAAAATGACATGCCTATAGGATCTGTGCTGTCGCTTTTTGCGCCTAGGTCAGGGTCACAATAAATAAAAAAAGGGGAAAATAGTATTTGAATTCTGGCAATGACAAGGACTTGAATCTACTCTTAAGGGGGGGCGCGGCAAGTAAAGTGCCGATTTTGGTCAAAATATGCGATTTTCTGATTTATTTTTTTTCGTAATCTTCAGACCTTCAACTTCCTTGTTCTAAAATATTACAGCGAAACGTGCGCTACAAATCCCGCAAATAGTGTTTTTGCCGAGGCTAGTCGCCGAAAAGTGCGAAAAAAAAGCCCCTGAAACGGTGTTGTTCACGCCGCACAAACGCGCCAAGTTGTTGACCGTGGGCCGCCATTTTGGTAGCTTTGGAAAGAGGAGAAAGCCGGCTTCCCGATGGTCGCGGTCTCGTATTTCGCCGAGTGAAAATAAAAGTGCGAGGAGCAAGTAAAAAAACGAAAACGAAGAACGGCAATTGGCTGCGCGGGTCACGTGGTAGCAGGCGCGACCTCTTACTGGTCAAAGCTGCGCCGCGCACCTTGGCAACCTTGGAAGCGCGAGCGCATCTGCGGCCGCCGAGTCGAGAATCATCCGGCGTGCGCTTCGTTTTTTGCCAGTTGGCTGTTTTTGTGATAGTTCGCGTGCTTTTTTTACCAAGCTTTGTTTACATCGGTGGTCTCTTCTGAGTGCTTGCTCATACTGCGGTGCTATGTTGTCGCAAAAAAAGTTCCGGGGCGTCCACAACTACGGCAAGCGTCGGAAAGCTTGGAACAAAGGGCAGACGACTGCGACTGCCGTCCCAGTCGCAGTTACGGACGGAGCATGCTCTTCAAGCGTCACGGAGCCTCTACTCAGACCCTTCGCTGATTGTTATGAGGCCGAGAGTGTGGAAGGTGCCACATCGTCGTATGTCAGACCGCCGGATGCCGTCGACCGTGATGGACGCTCTCGCGAACCCGATTGCGGTGGCACCGCGTCGGCAGCCGTTGCAACTCCGGGCGTGCGCGCGTCGAACATTCTATCGCGAGTTTCGGCCCAGATTCCGAGCAGTGAAGAAATCGCGCAGCGGGCGCAGACAAGGCGGGATGTTTTGGATGCCGTAGCATCGAAATCCGCTTCAAAGCGGAAGCTCGAGCTTCTGAACGAAGGCTGCGACGAAAATGACGGCGGTAAGGACTCCACATTCTTCATTGTAAATAAGAAGATGCTGAACGGTCTGCTTTCGTCAGTAAAGTGCAACAAGTGCGACGAAGGGTCGATACGCCTCGAGACTACGCTTTGCCTTGGACTCGCGGCGAGGATGGAACTTTTTTGTGACAATTGTGGCATAGTGAACAGTGCGTGGTCGTCCCCGAGGTGCTCCGGGCAACAAAAAACGAACCCCTTTGAGGTAAACGTGCGTGCTTTGAGGGCTGTGCTTTCAGTTGGCAGAAAACAATCTGCCATAAATGACATTTTTTCTGCGATGGACATTTCGCATCGAGCACTGCACCACAAGTCCTACCAGAGACTGCAAAGGAAGTACAGCTACCCTGCCACCACATCAGCTGCCACCCGCATTGAAGCAGAAAGTGCACAGAAGGTGCATGACATTTACAAGGACCTAGGAGGAGTGCCAGGCAACATTGACGTCATTTACGACGGCACGTGGATGACGAGGGGGCACAGAAGTCATATTGGCGTGGGCTGTGTAATCGAGCTGTACACAGGCTTGGTCTTGGACCACTGTGTCCTGTCCAACTACTGCCAAGGCTGTGCTGTTGGCCCCAAGCCTGGTGACGACAACTATGAGGAGTGGCTTGAGAAACACAAGCCACAGTGCCAAAAGAACACCGATGCTAATGCAGGCCAAATGGAAGTAGAAGCAGCGAGGATCATGTTTGAAAGATCGTTTACCAAGTACAAGCTTCGATACATCAATGTGCTCTGCGACGGTGACAGCCGTACGTACCTTGCCCTCACGCAAGACAAGGTGTATGGCTACATGTTGATTAAGAAACAGGAGTGTGTGAACCATGTGAAAAAAAGAATGGGCACTTCCTTGCGCAACCTTCTTGATGAGCACAAATCCAAAGGCCGAGGACTGAGCATGGGTGGCAAAGGCCGGCTGACGCAGGGCCTTATAAAGAAGTTGACGAATTATTATGGCTGGGCCATTAAGAGCCACCCCAACGATGTTCCTGGCATGGAGAGGGCCATCATGGCCACTTATTACCATGTAACATCCACAGACCAGGATCCACACCACGACCTGTGCCCAAGTGGGATTGACTCCTGGTGCCCGCACAATCAGGCATTGGCCAAGGGAGAGCCGCTGCCGCCTCACAAACATAAACTGCCCCCTCACGTGCGAGTGGCACTGCTGCCAATCTACAAGCGCCTCTCGAACAAAGAGCTCCTTGAAAGGTGTGCGCAGGGAAAAACCCAGAACGCTGTGGAGAGTATGAACAGCCTCATTTGGTCACTCCAGTCCAAGAGCCAGTTCGCCTCCCTTCGAAGTGTGGAAAGTGCAGTTGCAGATGCAGTCTGCCGTTTCAATGGTGGCTGCAAGAGTGCGCTGCAAGAGATCACTGCTCAACTGGGCTTCAATCCAGGAGACTGCTCTTTGCGGCGAGCAGCCGAAAAGGATGCCAAAAGGGTGAAGAGGGCTCAAAAGGCGCATTGTTCTACGACAAAGAAGCGCAAAACTGGGTTGCGCTCTACAGAGGCCAAGGCCACAGCATCTCAGGATTACTGCCCAGGAGGATTCTGAGTGTTTTAGGCATGTTGTGAACTTCCAAACAAGAGTGAACTTTCAAAGTCAGTTTTCTCAACTCTTGATTTTCGCCTATGTGCCTTCGCTAGAACATCTGTCATTTTTTAACAAAGACTGATAGAGTCGTTCCGTTTTTTGCACTAGGCTCAGGAGGCCTTTAGCAGTGCAATAAAGCTTTATCTCTCTTCTTACTCATCATTTAAAATTTTTAGAACACATTTTATAATTACTGCAATGTGTGCGCAAAACAACATCCATGTTTTGGAAATTTTATTTATGGTTACAAGAACTAGAAAAATCAACTAATAGCTTCTTTGCACAAGTTGATGCTTTGGGAACATAATAATATGAAAAAATAATTTCATTTAGCAATAATTATCTCTTTAAGTGTGAAGAGCATTAATTAGTATAATTATGCTTGTAACTCAAAAAGTACAAGAGGTATTTGAAAACGGTTTTCATATTTGGAATCCTCACAATCATCCACATACACACACCAAATTTCATCACAAACAGTACATTAATAAAAAAATTAGTTTTACTTGCCACGTCCCCCCTTAACAGCTGACCGAACTGTAAGCAGTGTTCACTGTTGGCTTGTGCCTATTCATGAGCTTGTTTTTGGTGGCACTCCTGGCTACATTGTTTTTGTTGCATATATAAATGACAATATTGATGAATCTCCAGTCACCCTCAGTGAAACAAATCGCTCATCGCGCACGCCGCGCGCTGAGCATGCCATCACGAGTTTCACACTAAAGTCCTCTTTTCTTTGCTCCTTGGACACTGTCGCTGCAGTCTGCGCAAATCTTACGTCCGAGAAGGTAATTAACCATGCTCAAATGTACGACAGAAAATTCCGTTCCGCTATCGCTGAAGTTCCCCTGTTCCGTGTCGACGCCAAGAAGTTCGAATTTTGGTTCAGTTTCCGACTTGACGCCTAA